TTCCTTCATTTTTTCTTTCCTTTTTTTTACTTTCTGTGTTTGCAGTGTGTGTTTATGGCTTGAAAAACGTTGATTAAAACATCCTGAATATGCAAATATCCTTATATGCCTTATGCTCGCCTGCTCGCGACTTTTCTCCGCGCACATTGCCTGTTTCTTTTTCCCCGCACTCGGTTTCCTTTCTCGTTTGCTTCATTTTTCTTGCCGGAGCGTACCATTTTTTGACGAAATATCCTGCCGCTGGAAAGGCTCGCGCACACGCACACGACATTAACCCCGATTTATACTATTATGCAAATCCTGCGGCTGCTTATCTTCCACTTATTCAAATTCTAAAATAACGCCGCATGGGGCGAATCGAATCACACATTCACAACATTACGCCACATTAAAACGTATCGAACTTATGAAAATGATATATTGCGCGGCAAACCTAAGCGACTCAACCACACGAGGGTGAAACAACCCCGAAACATATTGTAATAAGCGGTGACAAGTAAATATTAAACAACCTTTATATATGTGTGTGTGTGTAAAGTATGCGCATGCGCGTGATAACCTTACTTTATATTTCGCTAGGATTACAAAATAAATTCAAGCGACAAAACGACAGGAAAACGTGCGTAACGTGTAATAAACTAAAATAAATCATTTTTGGAGATTTCGTGAATAAAATGCGTTAAATTTCTGACAGGTTGTGACCCACGACCTTATTTTTTCATTCAACGAATTTAGCTTTTAATTCGAAGTGTTTTAATGTTATCGTCTTGGAAATCACCTTTGTGGGTGTCGAACACGGACACTGGCGACCAATTTTCGGTAAAATCTTCGCCTGGCGCTCACATTCCGGATAAACGAAATAAAAATCATCGCAGACGTAGGCAGGCTAATAGAGTCATCAAGTTTTATTTGCCTGCTTCTAAAAACTTTACTTCTTCGGATAGAAAACGTAAAAAACAAAAAAGAATCGGATTCATTGACAGAGCGCCCCCAATTTGGGCTAATCGTTTGTGTCCACCTTCCAGACTCGTCGTAAATCAACCCGGACATGTGCACAGGTAGTTTTGAGCATTGTGAGTTTTAAAAATCAAAATTCAACAATTAAACAGTTTTCGATGCGCTAGAAGAAGAAGAAGTCAGCGAAGCAATTAGGCACTGTAATAGCTCCTCGCTGATAACCGTGTGTCGAATGTCGGGTCCTCGAACGGGGGGCGTTAAATACGTGTATAGTTGCGGTTCTGCGTCGATAATTGCCCGCTCGTAAATCTCGCATCGCTCCGACGACAGATAAACAAGGATTTACTTCGGTTACATTGTCATACACGGCGTCTTCACACATCGCGCTAAACCCTTTCGACATTAGCTAATAAGATTTCCCATTTGCCACGCTGTATAGCCACATGAAACACCTTAAGAAAAGCCAAGCAAGTCAGGAGGAGTAGATTCAAGCGCTTGTTTGTTTATTACTACTGCTCGCGCCTCGACAACGCGCGGCGCGGACAAGTTCAAGAACTTCTTCGTTCTTATTCTTGGCTTCGGAAGGGGTTTCCATTAACGTGCGTGTCGTACACTTAGATGAAGTCGTCAAGTTGCACATAAACTTGCTCCGGTAGAAATAGAAGAAAAAGAAAAAACTCAGATTTTCAAACCGTTGTGTTGATTTTTCAGGGTTTTAAGGGTTTTAAGGGTTTTAAGGGATAAATCACCTGTGAATGTTACTAATTTCGTTGTCAAAACAACACTCTTTTGCTCTCACCCGCACGGATGCTTCTAATTACTGTCGGTCAATTAATTCCAACATTTCCGGTTGGTTTCAGTGATTTTTGATGTTTTTTTTTGTGTTTTTAAGGGTTTTGAGGGTTTGAGGGTTTGTGGGTTTATTTTGAGATAAAATTTGGGACAATTTGTATTCTTGTCACAATTTGCCCTTTTTTTTAAAGAAAAAATGGATAAAATCTACCTGTTTTCATTTATAACCTCAAATTTAAGTTTTTTCTACCTGCGCCATCTATGAATTAAATTTTTAAACATAAAATAAACGCAATTTTTATATTTTTATGTTTTTTTTTTCTACACGTTGTAAATGTTTATAAATAAATATTTATCTATACTTTGCGTGACAACCAGCACCTCATGTTGAACAATTTACTAAAAACGCATGCATTCAATGCAATAATCACGAAATAATTAAAAACCTGCTGATTACTCGACCAATTGTTGCTGACTGTCGATTTTTTGACACGTAACATCTATTACATTACTATTACCATCACATTTGTTATTGAACATTTAAAATAAACTAAACGTTTGCTTAAAACAGCGCATGTGTATTAATTTTTCACGTTTTGTCGCCGATCTATAATTGCGCCGGCATTATCGCAATATCTGCATAGTGGCAATCATCATTAGCGCAGGTCGCATACTTCTGTTCGTACCTATCGGGCGGCGGTGTAATTACGGCATGAAAAACCTATCGTGACTGCATTCGATTTTCGAAGCGAACGCGACGGACCAACCACGCGCAGCCGACCCAGGCGACTATCAAATGTCATTAACTATGGAAAACAGCCAGGGATTGACTTTACAAAATGCACCGCGGTCGGCGGTAGGAAAACGAAATAAAATCACATCGGAAACACGATCGTGCGACATTCGTCTTACCACACGAGGCGCAAAACAAAAAAATTAACATGCTGCGTTTGGAAATTGCGCGGACATAACCTACAATGCCTGGCCTGTTAATGCGATGTTTGTAATGCAAATAGTTACTAGTTTGGGTGCAAATTGTGCAAATAACTGCACATGTTGACGTTAAATAGATAAATGCGTTCGCAATACGAATGATAATTACATATTATTCACACTAACACGCGTCAATAGAACTTGACGGAGTAAAAATACACATAGAGATTGAAAATGTGAGGTTATGTCAATTGAGGTTAGGTAATTTGACATTTTACATAACTTTAGATTTTTGTGTATTTAGTATTGAGTATCGTGCCTCCCTCAATGCTTGTATGATTATTAATGCGACCGAAACTCGCGACCACGTAAGCAGGTTATAAAATATATCGCCTGGCGCAGGATTTGAATAAATTACATGGTAACCGGCGCAAGTGTACCAGCACGTCGCGCGAACGGAAACCTACTATTATCCTACTATTCCTTCGAGTTCCGACGAGCAAACAACGCGGCAAGTGGAAAAGTTCGAGCGCCGCCGAGATGAATTGTGAATACGTTGCCGGGTGTAATTGTAGTTGGTTTTGCGCCGCTGCGCGCTCGAGTAGGTAGCCATCGATAACGCATCGATACGTAAACGATAAGTAATAACTAATAACTAATAGATGAGGACGCCAATGGGATAACATACACACACACGAAGACACGAAATGCCAGCGAGGATGATTATAGGTTGGGCGGACGGTTTCGCCGAATATTTAATGACATCATGTTGCGTTTGTTCTGTTGGGTAACTTTGATAGTTTCGATAACTTCGATAACTATAGCTATATTTAATGATAGGCAGATAGCGTATTGAAATTTTTGAACTCATTCTGTTTCATCAAGCTGCATAACGGGCATTGGCGTTAGATTCTTGATTCATTATTCAATAAAAATTGTTTGTATTTTTTAGACCGTTGTTTTGGACTTATGGAAAACAAAAGTTTATGAATTGCAAAAATATGGAAAATTGTTAATATGTTTGAGTAATGATGTATTAGATGAATATCTTCTAAAAACCATCAATATTTTAACCAAAATCAGTTTATTCATGTTTGGACCGTTGCTCTGGACATATACCTATATCAAAATACCACAAACATAAAAAGTTTATTTTGGTAGAAAATATTATGATTGGTGATTCAAATATATTCCTAACTCAAAACCCAACAAAATTCCTTCAATAAATCAAATAAAATTCAATATATAACTCTTTGGACCGTTGTTCTGGACATATGTCTCCTCTGTATCAAAACAAATACAAAAAACTATCTCTCCACTGATTTTATTCCACTCCAGCTCCCATTTCTCAACGGCTCTGATAGCCGCCGGCTTCCACCGGTGTATTTGTTTATTTTCCATCAACTAAAGCGCTGCAAGATCATCTGATAAACCCTGTCGGCAGCCGTAGGTAGTGCTGCGGCTCTGCCCTCCTGCTGCCGGTAATTCCTCGCCTGCTCGCGCCGAGGCGAGCTCACGTTCGTTTACCTGTGCGCCTGCAGGCAGGTGGGAGACAAGGTGTTGCGGGGCTGGCTCCACCTCGCCGAGAATCGATTGGCCGCGCATTACCTTCGCCATTGGCGCGCCGCGCTGCGCACACCGCGCTTTCCACCAACCGCCAAACCGACGATGCCTACCTGAGTTACCTTTTGATACCAATTTCCAACACCAACACAAACAAAACATTTTCTAACTTGTAAAATAAAAAAATTTTATCAAAAATTACTAAAAAAATTTATAATTAGTTAATTATTTATTAATTAAATGTATGGAAATTAAAAGTTTTTGATTTAAGGCATAAAAAAGTTAATTAACCAATTAATAAATAATTAAATTAAATATTACCGGTATTTTTATCCAAAAATAAAAATTTTAATTAAATTTTGTTAATTGTGTTGATTGGTTTGTTTCCCATCGTTTAAAAACAGAAAGAAGATTCAATAACCGAGATTTGCTTCTTTCTTTAAGTTTTTGCTTTGCTGGTGCTTAAGAAGTGAGGTGTGATGATGATGCTTGAAGTAGAAGCACAGCCTACGCACGCAGAGAGGCGGCGGCAATCAATCCCGGCGGAAAAAAATCTTAATGCCGAGTAGGAGCGCGCCTCTCGACTCCCGCCGTCTGCGTCACACACGATAGACACTCATACAGGTATTACTCTCGCGCCTGGCAAATCGGAATGGGCAGAGGTGCGCGCCGCGCGAGCAGGTAGCCAACCGGAGGTAGCTCGCCCGGCGCTCACCTGACAGGTAGCTACTGCTCAGCGCTGGGCAGTCATTCAGTGTTGTGCTCGCCGCTGATGGGCTTCAATCGAGACACACGGCGCGCACCGATTATACACATCCACCGCGAGAGGAACAACGTATCCTCATTTATAAGTCAATCACAAGTTTAACTTGAATTTAACTTGAACAAGTTTCATCGGAGGATTTTTTTCTGTTGGTGTACATTTAATTTATTGATATTGGACTGGGAAGTTTTGTGTTAATACTTTCGAGGCAAATGTTTAATTGCTGGTGTGGTGAGCGCGAAACTGCACAATGCTGATATCGAGCGGCGCGCCCAACGGCCTGCTGACGACGCCCGGAAACGACTTCACGAGCATCGCCGGCCTCTCTGGTTGCTGCCCGCTGCCAGCGGCGCCGGCCGCCGCACGCTCCGGTATCGTCAATTGGAAGATGGATCCTTCCGTCGGCGGCTTATCGGCCACCGCGCCGAATGTCCTACCTTCAACATTACCTCTTTCACCAACTGGTAAGAAAAATTTAAAAAAAAATCAAAATCACACAAAAACATTTTTTAAGCAATTCAAAGAATATATTCATTATTATTTGATGTATAAACCAATTCTAAGTTAACTCAAAACATTCTGAATGCTTTCCGTCGGTAAACAAAACTTCATTCAAGTTTTACTCTACAACTCTCTACACATACATTATAATAATACATAGATCAAAGTCCAATAAGACTTTAAATAACATCTGTTCACACACGGTCAAAATCATATTCAATTCATTCTGAGTCGAAATTTTTTGAATCCGTGCACGCAAAGTCGACTTAATGCGCAGTTGTGCCACCCGCCATATTTGCATCCTTCGCGACGAATAAAAATATAATAATTACGCACGCAGAGGTTTTTTTTTATGCAAAATCATGAAACAATCAAAACGAAAACATGCCGATTAATTATTCGCCCAAGCAAGATGGTTGCTGGATAAGCTAATTATTTGTTTCTGTTGAGTGTGACCCTGAAAAAAGTGCGTGAACGCCATAAAGCGAGCAGATGTGAGCAGTTGCAATTGCGTTTAAACGTCACATAAAGAATCAATAAAATTATAATAAGAGAAGTACATAACAGGCGAAGATCTGTCGAAAGAAGAGAGACTTAAGTCGTTAGCGCACTCGCTGCTGAGTTTATTAATCGCTTATTAATGTCGCGCTCACCGATTTGGTTACGATTTGTTTTTGACACAGCTGCGGTGATTTTTTTCTTTTATAAACAGAAAACAGGTGCAAATTTTAAAAAATTAAAAAAAAATTATTTTGAAAATTTTAAATTTATTTAGTTTTTTATCTGATAAGATTTTTGAGTGTTTAGTAAGTACTACTTAGCCGAATCATTGTTTACTAATTAGAGCCATAAACCATTTGATGATGGGTCATAAATTTTACACTTGGGACTTAAGTAAAGTCACTTCTTGCAGGTTACTCAGTTGTAGGTCAATCAAATACTTGTTTTCAAGTGAATTTTGTGAATCACTATAAATAAAATCACATTATGTTGTCGCTTAGTAACTTTATGACTTAATAAACACAAAACAAAAAAAAACAAGTTAATTATTAACAGTCTGATGCACAATGATCGATTGATGGGTAGGCAGCGGTGTTGCTAATTGAATAATATCGTATTACCCGAAAATTGGCTGCTACCCAATTTGCCCATGGTCATTTAACACACCTGGTATCAATTTTCTTCCATAAATATACAATTTTGATCAATTTAAAGTGATTTTCAATTAATGTCGGTAAAGTAGAGCGCGTAGTTAAAGATATTCTTGAAACACATAAACAGCTTACCAGGAATACATCGCAGGTTGTTTGACGAAGTGTTATGAAGTCATCCAAGTCAGCAAAGGTGCGAGTAATAAAACAGCGCGTCGTTTGTAGCGTTTATCAAATAGCTGGAATTAGTCCGGGCCGGAATTACATGTCTCGCGCGTCTAACGACCAACGACGCCCGGCGACTCCTTGCCTTTGCCGTTTCAAAGAACTCCTTAGAACCACAATTACATCAGATGTGGCTGTTACGCTCTCGCACCCCGCTAGTATATCAATATTGCATCCGACCACTCGTCCCCGACTTCTTTTAATTACCCGTATTATGCGATGATATCAATTAGTTTTTTTTTGCGCACACACGACGCGATCATTCTTCCTGCTTTCAGTGAAGTTGTTGTTTGCTTCGTGCCCTCTTCGAAGGCGACGCAAATATGGCATATGGTAATGATGTGGCCGACTAATGACTCGTTAATTAATTATCCCGCATCTACACCGGGATGCTTCTAACGTTACTCGCAACGTTACAATTATCAATTATTACCAAGAAAAGACGGCTCCGACACGTGACAACATTCGCAGTGTCATATTTTATAAGTTGTTAATGGCTTGCTTAGCTGGTTAGGTTTACAGGGTTGGCATTTGGTTTATTTCACAGTAATTAAATTAATAAATCAATATTAATTATTTTTCACCTTAAAACAGGTAAAAAGTTATGTTTTTCCAAATTTTTATGTAAAAAAACGTAATTTTAACATAAATATTTAATTTTTTTATGAAATATTGTGACTGTCGCTAACAGCTGAAAATGTCAAAAGCCGCGACATAACCTCTAAAAACGCTTAAAATTGGTCGAAAAAACGATAAAAACATGAAATATCTATAAATTTAGATTATTTTCTTTATATTTTTTCCTTATTGTGAACTTAGCAACCGTAAATTATTAAAAATATTCTATTTTCTTAAAAAAACTATTTTTTGCACTTTGGGTTGCATAATACGCGCCTGTCTGCTCTTGAAATATCCTAGGGTGGTAGCTTGTATCTGCGCCTCATCATAACCTCATTAATTTAATTCAATTTAAATTTTTCTGTCGATTGGCAACTTTTATTGTTTGTTTATTGCCTCTTTGAAAGCTCGAATTGAATTCGCCAGTTTTTGCGCCGTTAACAAGCGGAAGTTGTAAATATCAGCGCGCACGCGCAATAAAAGCATGTCTTATTTGTCAAAACATCTTATCGACGGCCGTAAAATTTAACAATCGTTTTTAAATTTGAACAATAATTGCGTTTAAACGCAGCAGATGTCGACGAATCTCACCTACATACCGAACATACCGCGTACAAAACACCGAATTGGTAAAGTTCTCAAACTACAAGTCAAATCACGTGCGTAGTTTCTCTTCGTTTTATTTTTATATCTTCCGCTTGAAGAGTTCATTATTTTTTTCGTCCATAACAACCGATCGTGATCGCTACAATCAGTGAGAGGCGCACCGTAATCGGCACTAATTACTTTTTAATTGCTTCATTTCTTTTTTGCGGCTCGTCTCATTGATTACCTGTATAAATATCCGCGCATCCAAGAGAATAAGTCGTTTGCCAAATTTGGCAACTTGATTTTCTTCTGCGTATGATTTTTTTTGTTGAAATTTTATCATCCAGATTTGGATTTGGACAAATTGTCAGTAATTAAAATTTCATATAGAATTTTTTCCGTTGAAGAGAATTTTTGAGTGGTTTCGGATCATATAACTGGTGACATTGTGAATCGCTGTGTGACTCTTTCAATTATCATCGCGCGCGCAGGTGTCTTTTGTGTCCTCGCCACAATTACACCGAATGTGGATGTAATTCGTTTTCAATTGTCCGGCGTGACCGAAACGCGCTGCGCGCTGTCGCTTTGCGGTTGCGGTGATGCCGAAGAAACCCCCTGCGGGCCGAAGGATAAGAGCTACCTGAAAATACATAAATTTACTGCGTCCCAGTGAAAAAAAAAACGAAAAACAAAACAAAAACACCGAAACAGTGTGAATTGAATGAGGTTATGTTAATATTTGACAGTGTTGTATATTGAAACCATGTGAAATGTTTGCAGTGGCAACATCGCCTTCGGTGCCCGGTCCGACGTCGGGTGCGGCTAGTGGCGGCGGTCCGTCGGGGGCGATTCCGCCGGCGGCGCTGCGCGAGTTCTACAGCCAGGCGAACACCCCCGGCCACCCTCTTGCGTCGCTGGTCTCACAACAGCGGCTGCTCGAGCTCTCCCGCTTCGGGCTGCGCCACTACGACCTCGCGCAGCATATGCTCACCCAGCAGGGGGCCGTCACCAAATTGCTAGGTAAGCATTACAACTAATTACACTCTGCGCGGAGCAAAGGGTTAATGATTACAAGGTTTCGAATGTTTCATATGCCAACATTCACAACACATTATACACGTATACACAACCAGATGTTGGTTCATAAGTTTTTGCATTTTTTTGCGCTGCGTGCTGGGCGCTATGTTCACAGGTCAAACTTTAAGACCTCATATAAATAAGCATCAGCGCAGGGGAATAAATTCCGAGTGGATTTCGGATTTCGCCAACAATTAAGTCGAAATTTATGGCGATTCGAACCCGCGTTCTTAGCATAATCGCGCGCGCGTTGAGAATTATTAGCGTTTGCGCTTTGATATATCGTGGCGCGGATTGTGAGACCTGCAATTCGACGCACAACTTTAATAAACCATGACATGAGCTATACTCCTATACAGTGTATAAAAAATCAAACTTTCATCGTAAATTTTTCATTTTTAAACCTGGTTTTGGAGAAATTAAAAAAAATCGTATTTTTCTCTGTGTACGCCAAAATATTTCAAGTTTTTTAAATTTATTTTGATTATAATTTAGAGAATTAAGTTTTCTTTACTATAGTATATTTTTTATTGCTGTAGGTTTAATATTTCCGAAGATATTTAATTTTTAATGAAATTTTTGCTAAACTTTAATTTTTCTTTGATTTTTTCGCTTCCTGAAAAATATTTACATATTTGACTTCCAGTAAAAGCACCGAACGCTTTAGAAAATTCTTTCCCTGAGGCGTGACGAAGCCAATAAAGCGTAGGTAATTAATTAATTAATGACCTATTTATCGCGCGACAAAGACTTGTGACCTTTTCCGATAATAATCTGCTTAAAACTGCAATACAAAAACTTTGAACCTTTTTATTCTGCCGTGAGCATAAAACACTCCATCGCGCAGCTCATAAATATCATCGACACTATGCCCTGTTGAAAATTAAATTAATTCAACATCTGTTTTCTCGCCGAATTTTTATCCCTCGCGGCCCATCCATCGATACCCATCTCTCGCTACAAATCGATAATTACAAGCCGAGCGTCGCGCGCATCCGAAATAAAAACGAAATTTATTAACGCCGATTTTGGTGCAATCACCTCCAGGCACCTCGAGGAAATCAGTTCGGTGAGTTGTAGAAACAGTAGAAGGAAAAATTCTTCAGTTGCGCGCATCTGGAGTGCGGCGGACGATTCAGATCGAAGCCGGTGATAAGATAATGAAATTAAGCGGCGATGAAACGAATCGTGGCCGTTTTGGGTCGTCGAAAAGATTCAAATTCGAAGAGGAGTACGAATGCAGCATATCAGTATGTGAATGTAAATGCGAATGAGTCGGAGTAAATTATTGCGCGTAATGATAGAGCGCGCGCGAGAGTGGTAGCCTACGATGGATTAAATTAAACGGTCCGGCGTTTCGTTTGTCAGCGCCCAAGAACAACGCGAGGCAACCAAGTTCCGTCGTTTGTTCGAGGGCAACCAAACCATGACGATTTCATATTCCAAATCGCAGCCATCATACCGAAATCAGTTATAAATACGTATACCAAATGTTTAAAATATCATACAACACATCATGACATCTTGTAGGTAAATTAGTAATCTGTAATTTTTTAAGGGGTTATGTTAGTTTTTAAGCTGATTGAGAGGGCGCTGTGGGTTGAAGTTTGTTTGGGGAGAAAATGAGTGATTTTTATTGTTTAAAGTGTTTGTTGAAAGGCGCTGTATATGAATTTATTTGGATTATTGTAAAATGACTATAAATAACATCATATTATGCAAAATTGGCATCGCTGTGCGGGTGCACGACTAATGCATGTCCGTTTTGACTAATAACACATATTCCGGTTAATTACATGTGCGCAGTGTGCACGATCCGCAACATTTGCAAACTTTACATTAATATTTTTTTTCTTCCTATTTGTTTACTATTATTTAATACCGTCTTAAGGCGGAAAATAAAAATTTACAATTTCAAGCGCAAAATTTCAATGAAAATATTAATTTGTGTGTAAAACAAATTTTTGACCAAAAAAGTAAAATTTCTGCGAAATAAAAATAAAAAACGGTTTTTTTTTTAATGAAAATTATTTCTTTTATTTTCTGTAGTCTAGTTTGGTGACATGCACTTTTGTCGGCCATGACGACGCGTCGGTGGCCATTCCCCAACCACAAACACGCACACCAACAAGCAAGGCGGCACACACAACGCGTCATTACTGTAATTAATTGTCGCTGCGCTGAAAAATGAAGCCGGCAAACAAAAGACCACGCAGAAGACTAAGAAACGCCGCGAATTTGAGCGATAAAACAAAAATAAACGTGCCTGACACCCTGACACGCTTGATAATTTGTCATTTGCTCGCAAATATGCGAAAAATGTATTCGGCATCACCGAAAAAATTCAAATTAAAATAAAATACAACAGTATGTATTGAGGTATATTATACAAATTTAAAAATTAAATTGTTCCATTGTACCGCTCGGTATATTGAATTCGTATTGAAAGGCATTGTTATCCTTTTTCGCGTTTGTAGTTTGCATTTCGGTTGTTTGGCGAAACGCTTGCGTTGCGAGGCACTCGCAGCGCGCACATCAATTACGACATTGTGCGCGAGTTGCACAAGCGACTCGTTACGCTATCGATAAACGGCGCGAGCATCCCAATTTGTGGCGAGCACGCCATGCGCGCAGCTTCAAAATGCATAATTATATGCATAATAACGTCGATACGGTGCGCACAATGCGCGCGAGGCACAAGCCACACATGTCAGGATATCACACAAGACCGTTTACAATACGTTCAATTTATTTTCGCGAAAAATCTGCAAACACGTCTTCAACTACACGACTGCGTTTTATTAGGTAACAAAACACTTCAAATCGTGAAACAAACATTTTGACGTTTATTTTTACAAGAAAATTTTATTTGTTTTTTTAATTTTATTAAAAATTTATTTTTTTATTTTTTGCGTGAGGATTAATTTAATTTGTTTAATAATTTAACTGGAAGTTTGCATTGGCAGGCAACAAAGGCGATTATTATTGTTATTATACATTTATATGTGTGCTTGTCGATTTTTTTCCATAAAAGTGGTGCCGGCACATGTAATCGCTATTAAACAGCATTTCCATGGAAAGATTGCGCCAATTATCCTTACATGTGATGTGCGCGGATTCCGGCGCGCCGCGTTTCGTGCATGCACTTCTGCGCGAAATAATAACGAGCGCAATATAAAAAGCCACAATTATTGCACAATTATTCGCCCGTACGCGAATGAAATGTTTGCGTTTTTGCTCGAGCTTCAGACACAACGGAAAAAAATAAATAAAAATAAAGTCGAAACACCACGACGAGCACGAATCGACAAAAAAGAGACAACAATCAAACTGCGAATATAGAATATATGATATATAAAATATAAACGGTGTGAGTTGAGGAAATGGGTGTTGTTCGTGTTAAAAGTGCATGAAAAACAGTTTTTAGTGATAAAATGTATTCGAGGAATTTTACTCGCACGCTACTGAAATATTTTAACCCCGAATTAAAAATTGTTAAAATATTTTGTCATTTATTAATAACTAGCTTATGCTTGCTGAGCAAGTGGTGGCACTTCAACGCCACCTTGAATTATATAACTATAACTTTATAATAACTTTCAACCCTTATTATTTACCTTTTAAGTTATATTTTTGCGTTAAAAAGTAGCCTATTGGCTTCTCCTTAGTCAAGAGTATCTTGATACTAAAATTTATCAAAATTGGTTTAGTGGTTTTTGTTTGAAAGCGACACAAACATACAAAAAACTTGCATTTGCATTTATTAAAGTTAAAATTCCAAAACAAATGAATTAAAGTCAGATATTTAAGCAAATATTTATGCATTATCTAATTCCGCACTTAAAAATGCTAAAATTTTATTGATAACACTTTAAAATCACCATTTATATATAACCAATTTGAGTAAATTTTGTCATTTTAACAAAAAATTTGGTCGCATTTGGAATAACTTTCGATATAATAATTTAATCAGCATTATTTTAATTCCTTGCTCTGATGAATTTAATTCCCTATACATTTCTGCAAGAATTATCATGTTATCGCTAATAGTTTGCGAGTAATTTATTAATTTCCAAATGTTTACATTCGAAATATGCAATTTTGTTTTCTGTGTGTAATTTTTGCATGTTTTCTAAAGTATTATCGTCACAATTAAAATATCGTGTCTGCATTTTAACCACGAACAAATACACGAATAAATATTTGCATTGCGATAACAATAATTGTTGTTGCATGCCCGAGCAGCCTACACTCTCCAAGGACAAGTCCAACAAATTTTTGCACGAGATTTTAATAATATATTGAATTGACTTTAATTGATTTCTCCGCCGATGCAAATATTTATAGCAATAGCTTACACTTAATTAGCACGTAATCCGTCGGGCATGATTTGTTATGCATGTGATTTGCAATATTATCCGTCTAAAAAATAAAAATTGATGAAATAACAAAATGGCGTATAATTACTTACAACTAGATAGTTTTTTACTCAAGCGAATTATAGATGGCACCACTTCTTTTTACCTATTTATGTATTGGTATACTTGGTTAATATTTATTATAATTGCGATCGCTTAGCAAAGTCAACTCCCAATTTAAATCACCAGCAGCTCATTTGAATGCAGCCCACAAATAACAAATGTGCAAACATCAAGATAGCAAATTGTAACGTGTAAATTGTAAATACTTATATCTCCAGCGCTCATTAATAGCCGGCGTTTATTTATTCGCCAATGAATGGATGCAAATAGCGCAAAGTGAGCAAAGTAAACATTTATTTGCATTTACGCTTATTACGCTCGCGCTTGTTATTATTCATTATATTCATTGCGAGTGTAATTGCTGTTGGCAATTATGTGTGCGAACGCGAACGCGCCAGATTGGACGCGGGAAAATATTAAAATAAATAGAATTTTACGAGCGCTGGATTAACGCAGGCGGCGTTAAATTAATCGATTATGTTTGTCAATAAATTTTACCAAGTTTCAAGTATTTTAACTTTTAGCGCCATCTATCAGTGCAAAATGAAATTAGTACTTGTATTTACCACCAGAGGGTTAAATTACGACAACCACACGTACACAAATGACTGCAAAAGTTAATTTTACTAATAAAGGACTAAAAATATTTAGTTTTACGTTAAATTGATTATGTTTATCAATAAAGTTAGCAAAGTACCAGGTATTTAGAGGTGTAGCGCCCTCTATCAGCGCAAAATACAACTAGTACTTTTACTGGCCACCAGAGGGACAAATTACGGCAACCACCCGCACTCTAACACTAACCATTTGCACAGAAACACTAAAAAACTAAATTTTACACGCAGCTGGTCAAAAATATTTATTTTCATGCTGGTATGTCTTCTAGTTCGTCAGATTATCGTTTTATGGAGCAGTTCTGCGAATTTATAGCATTTATTAACATATGAAGACATAAATACGACATTTATTGTGCGAATTAAGAAGAAATAAGCAGGAAGTATGCGAAAAATGCACGCGTGCTCATAAAATTAATTATTTATCGCATAATAATGGCATGTAGCATTCAACTAATATGGAAATGAATAGTTGAAGCAAGTTGAGAAAATTTAAAACAAAACTCTCCGACTAAATTATACCCACCTTCAGGTATAGCATAGTTATCTAAACAAGAAAAGTACATAAATTAATTGTGAATCGGTTTGGCGAGTCGAGTTCGCCTCCGACTCGTCGTAAAACATAACATAATTATCGGGTTGTCGATGGCGCGATGGCCGAACTGGAAACTCCGAACAAACTTTACAATTTACAATAGAAAACACACATTGTTGAAATTTGCCGCCAAGTATAAATTAGTGCTCGCTGCTCGCAGTTGTAACTCGACTCCCGACGTGTAATTATAACTTTATTCTTCTTCATTCCATACATCATCAAACTATCAACTAGATATATCGTAAACTTTTCCTCGTGACTGGTAACGCTGCATATTCCATACACGAGTTTAGATGCTTCTAGGTTAGGTTCGCGTTTCTATGTAATCGATGAAATTATCGAATCGATATTCTGGCTAAACATGAAATACTAATTTCGAGCGCTAATCTAATTAGATTCGCGAGTGCGCGGCGTGGATAATTTACGAGCGGCCGGCGATAATTAACCATGGCCGCGGTGAAACTGTCGGCGCTGGGGCCTAAATAAATAATCCGCATCACATAAACGCGATACGATAATGCTAGTTATTAGATTTTATTGAATGCGGCGTGCGCGCTCTCGCCTCCCGCCGTCGTCGTCGGCGGCCATTTTGTGCGCGCCTATCGCATGTTCGCTCGCCGTTTGCCAACATGCCAACATGCTTCTAACCTTGCTGTGCGACTCGCGGCGGAAAACGGTATAATGAGCGATGCGGAGCTACTGCGCTTGTGGCTCGCGTTGCGAATTATAATTTTGTCTTCAACCGATACATAACCTAGCGTAACGTGAAATTCGCCCCGCGTCGCTCATAAATATGCGCCAGCGCGGAAGGCACGACATCAAAACGTCAGATCGAGTGCAATTGACGGACAAATGAAAGGGGAAGGACTCGTTTAGTTTTGACAGGATGATATTACGCAGATGTAGCAACCTAACAATAAAAAGACAAATAAGCAATTGCATTCATCTTTTTAACTTATAAAATCATTGAATATTTCAACATAACCTCAAATGTTAGCTATTTAAAGTCATAAAAATCGATTTTCGTTAGTTTAAGCATAAAAATATGACGGTTTTCTCAAGAATTATTCATAATAATATCTGTAATAACCTATAAACGTTTTTTTTCGTTTCTTCTTCTTCTGGTTGTACTTACAGATCGAAAATGTCCCGCAGGTAACGAACGCACGAACGCACCGCTCCTAAAGGATTACGAAACGGTTAATTATCGGCGTTCTCCTCCGGTTTCCAAGTAGCTTAAACGCCCCGAGCGATTCTTTCTGACTTTTCCTCGGTGGTTCACTTCGGGACTGCTTGCTTGCCTCCGAGTCGCGACATGCAACTCTCGTGCGCGCCGCGGTCACACGCGAACCCCTGAAACACTGAAAGGCATTCATCTAAATGGACAATCAAGCGTATCATTGAAACATATTTATGTTGCATGTGAGCATAATGTAGAAAATTGACTCGGGCGCGATGAATGAATGAAAACGCACCGAAAGGAAAGAAATTACGTGTAAAAAGTCGCTCGGAACTGCCCAGAACGGTCGAAATTATGTCGGGGCAAGTAAATTCGTGCGGTGTCGCGTCACGACATGGGACACTACCAGTGGACATGAAAATCATATTTTACGTATTAAACTGGTAGGTTTTTTAGTAAAAATTTAGCTTAAATTTAATTTATTGGAGTGTAAATGTGTTTTTTCATTAAAATACGCATATATAACTTATTACCGACCCTAAGGTTGCTTATTTTATACATTACTGATCATACTGTGTGTTTAAAATGACAGCAAACACGTTTTTAGCCTTAAAAAAATATAATATTTGTATTTGCCGTCATAGATGGCGCTAGAGAATGATTTTGACCACTAATGTTGAACATAACCTCAAAAATATATAAAACTACTGCCAGTTATGTGTCCAGAGGCACACGCGGCATATTGATGGCGAAATATATTAAAATAAATAAAATTAAAATAAATTATTTACGATCGTTGATTAATGCAAGCGGCAATTTAAGTTGATTAATCAGTTAACTTTCAGGTATTTAGTGCAGTAGCGCCCTCTATCAGTGCAAAAACTGTATTTTACTGCAATATAAACATTTTTCACCTTCTGCGACGCCAGGAAATGATTTTTAACATAAACGTTCCACAGAACCTAAAAAAATATTTAAAACATTCATTTAAGCACATTTTTAACAATTTAAATGTCAGGCATTAAGTATTAATGGATGATTACTTAAGTATTCACAACAAAAGTTTAGACATTATCGTAAAAATCGTGTTTTTGTATATTTTAACTCTCATAGCACCAACAGTAATTCTCTCTTTACCGCCCTGAATAAAAAATATCCCGTTGTACCAATATTTAGTTGAATTTGCTGCTTTTATAGGGGTTTGATTGAGACTTTTAACATTTTCCGTGCGCGCAATAAAACGTCTAAAGAATCAAATCTTTGATAAGCGCAGACACATTAAGAGCTTTTTATATTTACGACTTCCTTTGCGAGGCGCAGGCTCAGACATTAAACGTGTTCATTATCAAACGTCAATTAGGATGCTGCGCGGTGTTAAAAAACGCGTTAAACGAACATCCCAACACGACCACTAAAACCACTTGGCGAGAGCAAGTTGCTCTCAAACTATAAAACTAATAAAGATATCGACGAATTGTTTGTCACTTTACAGCCTCAATCAAGTCCTAAAGAAAGTCAATTATGTGCAATGTTACTGAGTTTCTAAAAAAGAAGAGTTTCTACACCACACAGTGGAAAAAAATAGCGAAAGTGTCATGTTACGCTTTGAGCATTTTTTCCGCATGTTTTTCATCGTGTTTCTAGTTTAAACACGCACTTGACATGCGTGTTATAAGCCAGATAAAGAGAGGACAAGGTGCGACTGAAAGGTGTAACTGAAAATTCGATAGCTTCGCGGAGAGAACCACAGCGTGCAGAAGTGGTTCTTCGCCGGCTTTGTAGATTTTCTCAACGGAACAACAACAATACGCGCGCATGAACAAAAATTAACGCACGCACGCCATCACGACATGCGATCTAAACTTCCTCAAGAGCACAACTACATTAACACGAACAAAAAACTTTTTTTTTTATTTTCAAAAAGGTTTCATTTTCTTTTTCTAAATAAAAATTTTATTAAATTATTTTTTATTTTTTATAGGAACTCTACGACCACCTGGATTAATCGGCGGCAGTAAACCGAAAGTAGCCACCCCTGCCGTGGTGTCAAAAATCGAACAGTACAAAAGAGAAAACCCAACGATTTTTGCCTGGGAAATCCGCGAGCGATTAATATCCGAAGGTAAGATTTTCCTATATTTTCTATGAATTTATACAAAAAATACCTAGATACTTATATATATTTTCTTCGACTGGTGTAAATTATTATTTGCGGATGTTGTCCGCAATGCGATGGGACATTAACGCGGCGTGTCGTCTTGTTACCCGCACAAGAAACGGTTTTTAATCGGGCGCGCCCCGCCGAGCGTGCGAGATCGCGCCGACCGCAGCGCCCCGAAACGGGTAGCTCCGCAAGCAGCGGGACGTCATCGTCAGCGCTCTCTTATAAGGTGTGAACCGGCCGCGCAAAGACGCAGCGAATACGAGCGAATGCGACATGCACGTAATTCTATTAGCACGATTAGACACACTCCCGAGAGCGGCGAACACTCCGACGATGGGTTTTTATTCATTCGATTCAATTATCGACTTTTCCACACTGAAACTCTACAAGTTGGGCGCGTATTTACACAGTGGACATGAAACATCGTGTTTGCGGATGGTATAAATCTTATACATGCATTAGCTTCATTGTTGGGCGATTATCGGAGGAGTAATTGATTTAAATGTGATATTGGCGGCGTAGAATATTAATTTTAATATGCTTTAAGTATTTTAATAAGTGTAATTTGTTGTATTTACGTTTAAAAGTCGTTGTTTTTCCGTTTAAATTTGCAGTTGTAACTCATTATTGAATGGTAAAAATGACAGTTGACAGTCGCATAATACTCTAGTAGTTGTATTTAGGACCGTAGATGGCGCTGGGCTATGATTTCGAAGATAAGCGGTTAAAATTACATCAAAAATGTTTAAAATATGCCTTGAGGTACATTTTGAACAATTTTTCATTATTTACTTAAACATTAGCTTCAATTTTATACGATCAACCCACAAATAATTGATTAAAACATGGTTGACAGTTGTACATCAATCAAAGGTTAATATTGGCGATCGTAGATGGCGCTGAGGATGATTCTGTATGTGAGCGTTTAACATAACTTCAAAAATATTTAAAATATCACGTTTTAACACGAAATTAATTGATTTAAACGTGTTATTGATGATGTACAATAATAATTCCAATATGTTGTAAGTATTTTAATAAGTTTAATTTGGTTTATTAGCATAGAACGATCGGAACGAATCGTCGTGCGCTCGTGGCTCGGAATTTTCGGCCTTTCAGCTCGCGTCGCGTAACAAATCGGTTATTGATAGCGCATTGATCCGACCGAAGCCGTTCACATCTCGTTCTCGTCTTGTCCCAGCCACATCCAATGAGCTGCCTGAATGGCGATTGAATTAATGTGTAGATAAATCAAATCGTACGCGCACTTCGTCGGAAGAAGGGACAACCATAGAAAACTCGACTCAACGCTCGTTTTTCCACTCTTCTCTGGTCTTATTCGTATTCTTCTGTGCCTTGTGCAGAGTGCGCGTACTGTGAATGAAAACAGTTTCGTTTCAAGACTCGCGGCCCAGTGTGATTATGATCAATGTTGGCCTGCGCATGATGAATATACAATTATTAATCATCCATCGGTCACCGTGTAATTACGCACGGTGGGCTCTCGATTTCAGAGATGCCCGCGAGCGCACGCCAAGAGAATGCAAGAAATAAAGCGAGAAATGCGCAACGACGGCGCGGAAAAGAAGCAATATGAAGTGAAGGTTGATTTATTCACTCAATGCGGCGGGTAGAGAGCGCACGCACTTAATTAAATACATTTTTATAAACACCCGCATAAAGTACGCGCGCATCTCTTGAGAAAAATCTATTCAATCAAGGCGTGATTTATCGTCAGAAGCAAACTGATTATACGTGTAGATTTCATCTGACGATCTTACAATTCAATAACATGAAGTTATTTTGTCTGCTATGGCTTAATTTTGGACCACACCTTATGTTTTGTTCTTTGTTTGTTTATTCTAGGAGTGTGTACGAACGCCACCGCTCCTTCCGTGAGCAGTATTAACCGAATTTTGAGAAATCGCGCGGCGGAACGCGCCGCTGCTGAATTTGCAAGAGCAGCTGGTTATGGTCTGTATCACCCTCATCCGTATGCAGCGGCGGCTGCTTTCCCCTGGCATAATCCTCTATGGCCCAATGGTCCACTGGGGTTGCAACCTCCTGGTAGTGGCAGTTCCTCGGCGATGGCAGGATCTCCTGGGTCTTCGGCTTCGCCACATCAAGACCACAGATTGCTTAACTCACCTCCTGGTTTAGACAAAGATGATTCCAGTCTAGATGGCTCTGAACAACCGAAATTCAGACGGAATCGCACAACGTTTAGTCCTGATCAACTTGAAGAACTTGAAAAAGAGTTTGAAAAATCTCATTATCCTTGTGTATCAACCCGAGAACGATTGGCATCGAAGACGTCTTTATCTGAAGCTAGAGTACAGGTGTGTATTTATTTAATGTGTTAAATTATTAGATTTTAGTTGAGCGTTGAAGTTTGGTTATGTTGTTTTGACGCGTGAATTTATTACTATACTAATTAGTGGTTAACCGTCAGGTTTGGTTTTCCAACAGGCGTGCGAAATGGCGCCGCCACCAGCGCATGAATCTACTAAAGCGGGCGTCGCCGTCGGGGGGCGGGGGCGGCTCGTCTGCGATGTACGCCGGCCGATTGACGCCATCACCGCACTACAACGCGGCTTCCACCCCTGGCTCGCCGCGTACCACGCATCGCACCGGCGCGCCCCCACCGTCCGCGCTCATGCTGCAGATGGGCGGCGAGAATAGCGCCTTCAAAGCATTCGGACCCAATAATACACTAGCGGACATCCGCCGCCTCGGCGGTTACATGACCGATTCGGATGAGGAGATCAATGTCAACGATGAGTCTGACTGTGAGGATGTGCGACACCGATCGCGTTCTTCATCACCGGTAGATGTCGTTGATGAACCGAAGGATACGCCGCGTAAGGATAAGGAACAACCGCTGCAACTCACAATGCACGATCGTGAATGACAGTTAAGTGTGCGCATCATCAGTGAATTTAAAAAAAAAGTGAATATTTAAACAAAAAACACTCATCAACCAAAGCAGGACGTTAATTCAGTTAGCAATAATCGTAAGTAAGTGTTTAAATGATAAGGTTGTAAATATTTATGAACATTGAACATTGGGAAACGCGCAACTTTTAGTGTAAATGAATTTGAAGCAATCGAGAACATTTTGAACTCTTTCAACTCTTTGAAGACTCAGCATTCAACAACTATACACTTTGTAAAAATGAATAAATTATTAATTTATGGGTAAACTTCGTGTTCTTGTCGTCATGCACGCATGTTTCTTCAACTTTATCCAGATGTTCAAACAATCGCTTAAAACAGCACATTCTTTCAAAGTATTAAAAGGTTAGCAAACTCAGATTGAATTATAAAACAAGAGTGAATTGAAAGGCAAAAAGGCTGGAAAGAAACTCTGGATTTATATGACTTTTTAATGAGCGAGAAATTATGCCTATGCATGAGTGAATTACATGGATATAAATCAATTACTCGATTGAATTATTAATGAAAAATAAACTTTTATATGAAAACTGCTTGGATTGCTTTATTTCCTTGAATTTATGTTTTCAGGTTATATTCCCACACAATAATACAAAACATAAACTCATTTTGATTAAATATAATAATTTAAACAAGAAAAAACGTAAACTTACCTTATTTGTAGATAAAATTCTGTGCAGAGAATAAAACTGACATTTGACATTGCATTTCGTCGTAGTAATTCGCAATTCATCCGCTATGCAACCGACTGCGCGTGCGTCGCACCCACTGTGCCCGCTCTACTCGACGATTCATTCTTAACCTACAAAAACGCATGTGAAGTAAATGCGTTTGTTAAACTTGTGTGCTGTGTGCGTTCGTCTTTCACTGCATTTTCTTCTTATATATTCCAATTTGATGTGTTCTCGCATCGATTTATACGAGCGCAGGTAAGCAACATCCTTTCCTTTTACAACTTCTTCATTATCATCATTGGGCGCGCCCGAAAGCGTAATTTTTTTATTGACATATTAAATTAGTCCAGCGATTAAAGCACCAGCCAACGACTTTATTCATGGACCACAACCAAATAATAAAAGCGTTGTAAAAATGTTGCGCACTAAATCTCCAGTCTATTACAATCGACGCAGACATTCGATTGAAGTGTTTTATTTTATTTTCATTTTTTTTTGTATCATCTAGTATGTGACGCAGCGCCATCCAATAAACCCTATGATGGACACACTTACAAAACACTTACAAATAACACATAAAAGTTTGTACGATTTTTTTACGACACTCGTTGCTTCATAATTCTTATCATCAAATATCCTCGACTGGAATGGAATTAATCTCCATTTATTGCTTTTGGTTCTTGTAACGTGACATTTCATTTTGACTCGAAATTAATTTCTCGATGCTCAGTTAAACAACAGTTACAAGTCGGCCCAAAGTGTTTTATCAACGACGCGAATGAAATATGAGCATCGTAATCGAATTTGTCGCACGCCTTTCGAAAAATTAACAAATTAAGGCCAACGCGTCGATTTTATATGCAATTTTTAAGCGCACATCAATAAACAGTAGCGGAAATATGGCGTTATAAAAATCGTCATAAAATTAAGCATTCGAAAGCTTCAAATCAAACGGTTTGAACTCATAAAATCACTGATCCCACAGCGAATAACTTTCATATTCATAATATACGCGCACAAAATCATTTCGCCGAAAATAAAATTGAATTACCGGTGATAGCGTCCCGAGTTTTCTGTTGCTGTGGTGTGTACGGTGTTGGTGTGTTCGGACGCAAGCGCGACAGTCCGGTTATGTAAATGTAACACGAGTGTGAACACAGCGTGTCTTCTGTAAAGCGGGATTATGTCCTTTATCGTCGTAATATATTACCATAGTGTCTCAATCAGGTCGGAGTAGCATCGGCCGCGCACCTCTGACTTCTTTTTTTGGTCCTCCGACGCTCGACAATCTCACAATGCACAAGTTTTCTTCAAAAAAATTAATTTTGTATTTTATTTTGCGTAAAAAATTAGTAAAAATAGTTTTAGTGGATAAAAATTGAGGTTAAATTATTTTGAGGTTATTTTTTTCGGTTTTGGTGAGAAAAAATAGAAGGTGCGCCTTCCCAAATTGATGGTAGCCGGGAATTTATGAGGTGCACCGATACTTGTAGGCCGATAACGTCGACACAACAAGGATTTTACACGGCGCGCATAAACAAGGCAATCGCAATCAGGAATGTTGTCCGCATCGGTGTCGTCCCTGCGACAACAACCGCGTATTTCCAAAGCGTCCCCTCAAAACCAGAAACAAACCAAAAAGTTGTTAAAGTGCACATAAATCTGTCCGCCGGACAAATTAGGCGAGAATTACTTTAGAAAAAGCAAAAATAAAAAAAAATCAACAAAATTAAGACATAACTTGAACTTGTCATCTTTTCTCTCGACTGCTTTAATTCTCGTTTAAGACGAAATTAATTTGTGTCTAAATGTGCACGTTTTACGACCCCACTCGCCTTATAGATTCCTATATAAACGTATAAAAATCGCCTGATGACATTGAGGCTCTTCCTTGTTCATTGTCGTTGATGTCGCCGTGTTAAGATGCTGCGTCGCGACCATCCGTCGGAGTTTAAAATAATAAAGATACAAGCCCACAATGGCGAACCGTGCGGTTTTATTGTCGATATAAAACGCGAGTCGGTCTTAATTCGGAGCCTCGATGTCCTTTACGTTTTCAATAAAAGGTATAAAGCATTACGCCGTGCGCGAGTTAACGCGCTCCCACAATCGTTAAAATAATACGTCTTCTTCGTCGCCGTCGTCTTTAATATCGGCGTAAAAGGTGAATTATTATCCAGCTATGTTTCGGGTGTTTTTAATATTTATACTCACTGCAAGTTTTATGTCCTTATTATTTACCTGCGTTTATCGATTTTCAGTTTTAACTATTTGCTCCACCTACTCAGATGTCTACGATTGGATAAATCTGTGTAAAGTACGTTGCGCATGCGCAAATCAAAAAAAAACTTTCAAATTTGTTTGTGTAAAGATTAGCGAAGTGAAAAAGCATGCGCAATAAAAGTGAGATTATTGCTCAATTAAATTAAGTCGTGTACAAGTTGTGATACTTAATTAATTACTAAACCAATGGATAGAAATCGATAGATGTAGGAAAAAATGCACGAGGAAATAAAACCGTATCGAAATGTTATAAGGCAATTATTTTTTATTGGTCAACGCTTCTCGATCGCTTCACTCGCTCGATTATAATTTAGTGTTAAGTAGGTAAAGTGGTTGTTAGTGGCAGCGCGTTAAGAGCGACATTTCGTATATTAGTTTAGCGCTTACCGACTCGTTTTATTGTCGCACGAGCATCTTCTCTTCGCGCCGTGCGTCGTTAATTATGCCCCGAACGAAACATACCGACCGTTCGATTATTTCACGCATAGCACTTAAAAAGGGGTAAAGGACTACTGTGGGAACGCCTTGTATGCGCTACAAAGTGGTGTCAGAGTAAGTTTTAATTAAACGACCAAGTGTCGCTAAACAGGGCCGAACCACGGCCGGCTAATAAGTGAATGAAGCAATCGCGTAAAAACAACAGGCAAATAAATGAATGAAGCACGACGCGAATGAGCGCGATAAGCGCGCGGAGTCGATCCCTTTGCTCAGGCGCGTCTCTCTGACTTAAGTGCCATGCGCATCCTCCTCGCCTGCGTCTAGCGAACGCGCGCGCGCGCGCGCAGTAAACGCACGTGAAACTGAAAAGTAGATTTCAATTAAGCGATTTGGTTTCGTGAACGTGCTTAACGATTTTAATGTCTTAATTTCCGAACAGCGCGAGTTGCCCGCCGTCCGTGGGCGTTTATATACCAATTATTTCTTTATTGAATCGCCAACATTATTTCTCGTGTCGTTTAAAATCCTTTTTTTATTTGTATCATACGCAAACACAAATCAAGTGAGATAAAAATAAAGTTAAGTAAGTTAATATTATTTTCGTATCAAATATTAAAATTTTTGGTTAAGTCACTTGCATTGAAGTGACTTAAGTCAGTGGAAATGTTTAATTGCTGTGTGATATCTGAAAATCTGTTGAATTTTGTTAATTGTGTACACATTATACGTTCCTCCGGCTTAAATTAAGCAGTAACTCGAAGTGACTTAACTGATTAACTGCCGAACAAACCTGCACGCACCATTCGCGTCGCTCTTAACTTAATTCTAACGCCTCGCAAGTCAATAAAAAAAAACGACGTCTTTCGGACGCGTTTTAACGCTCAACCTCAATTGGATTTCATGCGTCTGGAATACTTGCGCTGCTTCAATAATAAACGAGCGCGATAAGGCGGCGTAATGGTCAGGGTTGCGCTTCGATTTGAATTTTTAGTGTTAATTGGTTACCAGGTTACCACTTTGAGGATTCTCATGGTAATCTCTTTATTACAGCTCACATCGCCATGCACTCAAAACAACTTGGTTTTCCAAAAAAAAAAAACGAAAATAATTTACTGTTTTATTTAAATTTTGAAATATTTTCTGATTCGGATAATTTTTTATTCTCATATGGAATTTTTATCGAAGCATAAATTTCGATGCGGTTGTTAATTTGCCTACGAAAGTTATTCAAATATTATTAACACCTCAACACCTTCGACGGCGTTGGAAAAAATTCAAATTTTTAGAGATTACAGCATCAGAAACGTTGTTTACTAATGTGGCTAATATTTGTTTAGCACATTTATTAATATAACAAGACGTTTAGTTTAGTTTTGGTCGCGATACGCATTAGTTCTCACATTTATTATGGATAAATATGGAAAGTATTTCAAGTTTAGGACACGTTTCGACATGAGATTAAAAATTACGCATATTTGTTCGGACGGGATTACACTATTACACAGATTATCGAGTGTTGAGAGTGTTAATTAACTCAGATTAGAACGGCTCAAATTTCTAATTAATAAATAATTAAATTTATGTTTTTTAAAGTCCAAAATGATATTATTTATACAGTTTAGTGATCTAATATGATAAAAAATATTTTTTTGCCAAAAATTTTAAATTTCTAAGCAAGTGGGCGAAAAAATATTGTTGGTACACTAAATAAGACTCCAAAGGTAGTTTGATGATCTCTTCGTTGCGTCCAAGGCGTCGTGTTACCTAATCACTACCGAATATACGACACTCCTAAATCAATCGCCCTTATCGCCCCCAAAAACGCCCATGGCCCGTTTTATTGTGCGTCGCACGTTAATTACGGACGCGCTACAAAACGGCCCACAAGCTCACAGGCCTCTTCGTCTGCCGCACGTCGATCGCGCTCGATCGAAGAGCTTTTATAGCGCATGCCACGTTTATTGGAACACTTTATACGCGTCTTGTTTAAGCCTCCACTGGCCGTGGTACAATACTGAAACCGGAAAAATAAAAGAATTTATACGTTTGAACATCGTCGAGCACGGTTGAGTTTGACCACTCATCCACTTATGCGCGCTCGGCAATAAAACGCTCACCGCGTCGCTTTGACTTCT